GGGCTGAGTGGTTTGTGGCCTTTTTTTTCTGTTTTTCAAAAGCAGATCGGTTTTGTTGTAGGTGATACGGTCCTGGTTTCAGATCCATATCCCTCTAGGCTGCCTTTTTTCTTTTTAATACAGAATGGAATTCATTATTTTGAAGAAAATTGGTTAAAGTAACAAAATACTCGTCTGACTCTTAATTACTACTTTAGAATAATTTAATTTTTTATTAACGCAGTCCTCTGGTGTTATCTGTGTTCATCCAGATTAATACTTTGGCTCTGATATCTATACATCCTTTGTTTGAAAACATTGTGGAGAAGCAATGCGTGGTGTATATAGAAAGTTACAAGGAAGGTTGTTTTGCTCTTTTTTCAATTTCTGTTAATATCTTTATGTTTTCATATTTCCAGTGTCTTAGAGGGAACATGGCAGTCAGTTTCAGTGTTAATGAACCGTTGACTTTTATTGAGGGTTGGGGGGCACAGGCATTCTCCTCATAATCTTTTGCTTTCTTGTAGGTATTTTTGTTGATGCTGTAAATTCCGTGGGCCAGACTTCTCTCTTCATTGCTGCATTGCTAGGTCTTGGTAAAATAGTGGATTTGCTGTTGAATTATGGCTCAGATGCTAATCAGTTAAGTATAAAAATGAATTTTTATTCTTAAATTGAAACTAATCTTTTAGTGGTTTTAGTCAACGTAATACACAATATTCGCTATATATAAATGAAGAAATGCTTAAGATGCATGTTGCTATTTTAGCCAAAGATCCTCAGAGGTAAGTAGGTGCCTAATTTTTCTTTATTTCATGGTGTATGTTGTTGTTTGGGAGTACATAAACATTCTAGGTATGCTGCTTTTTTCCCCAGAGGCACAGCTGGTTGAGTGTAGTAGGGGTAGGTTGAAACATTTCTGCTTTACTGTTCCTCAGTCGCTGTTACGATGGAAGCACTCCAGTCCATGCAGCTGCGTTCTCAGGAAATCCATGGATTCTTAGCAAGTTACTGGATGAAGGAGGTGATCTGAGAGTACATGCTAAAGATGGAAAAAATCCTCAGAACTGGGCTATGTCAGCTGGAAAAGAAAGCAGTGCTCAGGTGTGTGTGTGTAATACGTGTTGAATACATGCTAGATATGTGCTCACATCTTCATCTTAAAATGAAGAAACTCCAACATTCCAGGGAGAAATTCTTGGCTTTTACATGTTAGATAATTATTTAATATTATTTTTCGATGTCAGTAATGGTATTTTGAAGTGCTCATGATCCAGATTATTTAACTAAGGTTTTGCTCAGGTGCAGGGCCATGTATGTCTGCAACTTGTTAGGACCTTTATGTGTAAGTGTGCAGTGAAGAGAATGAGAGGCCCTTGTTTTCGATCCCTGATGTGTGTAATTTGTTTGCGTGTACGTGCAATTCAGGAGTAAACCTGAAGTAGTTTTCAAGGGTATCTCAGTCTGTGCATGAACAGTGTCAGCAAATGTGTCATTTTGGCTAGCATGGTAGCAAAATGCGATATCAAGAAGGCTTATTCATGACTGCGATACTAATTTAAGACTCATATTATAGTACTCCTCTTTCCTGTTATTACAGTGCTCCTCTTAAAAAGAAACCTGATACTACAATTTTCAGTGGGTAAATGTCTTAAAAGTTAGTCATCTAGTGTTTGAAGTAAGCTTTCTCTTACATTTTCATGTAATTGATTTTCTTCAAGTTTTTCTGTGTATCCATTTCTTGAAATGCCTATTTAAATATTGCAAGTAACTAGTTATTTTTTCAGTAGTCATGATCTATTAATTTAAAACGGTTTATCTTGCAGTTCTGAAGTAGTTTTGTTGTTGTTGTTTTTTCTCTCCCCCTCCTCTCTAGATGCTGGAATTTATACAGCGTTGTACATTCCACATGCAGGCTGCCATTCAAAATTTTCCCTCTGAGCTACTCGGGAAGGTTGGCTCATCAAAAGCGCTGATCTGCAGTCCGTCTAGGTTTGGTGGTCTTGTTCAAGGGTAAGAATATATTCTCAAGTACTGAGGAATTGAGCTCAGGACTTTTACTTCCATATCCTATTATCTTAAAATTAACATGTTCTTTCTTTTTGACAATATCAGATTTGAAACCAATGTGTGTTAGGAATGATGATACTTTTTATTTGTTGTGAGAGTTCCAAACAGAAACTTGATAGTTGTAAATATCTGTATATTAAGAGATACTCTTGAAATCAACAATGTGAAGTACTGGATTTTAATAGTATTAAAATGGTGGTAACATGAAGTAGTTTGTTTCTTGACCTTTTAAGGTCACTGCAAATGTTCTGGGGGTGTGTTTCCAACCGTTTCAAGAGCTTTTATGTAAGGTACATGTTTGGAACAATACAGACTTATGAACAAAAAGCGATGCAGGATGCTTGTATATATTTTTTTTTAATTGGCTGTCTTACGTTAAACAAACACATAGCATAACAGTGTATCTAAAAAGTTTTAATGAGTTGCACAATAATTTGGAATTTCAGCATCCGCATTACACTTTTTGTGTGGGACCAGTCAAATGCAACATTTGAAATACATGGCTGTTGCAGAATTCTTCAGTTTTCTCTCTCTTTTTTGTATTTTACTCAAAGCTTTGTCATATTAGTTACTCTTATTGCTTATGTTCTTGATACGTAGAAATGTTGACAGTCCTCTGGGTAGACTTCTGAAAGGTGGAGCCAATGCAGCCAAGAACATGTATAGCTTTGGTTTTGGGAAGGTAAGATGCTATGGATAATGGTTTTCTAATGATATTAGTACAGTTTTTCAGAGTCACATATTCTTCACAGTAATTACCCCACCTGTGTGTTATTTTTAATTTTTAGTGCGTTCTTATTTCTACTGAAATGGTGGAAAAAACCTGTGGAGAGCGCAAATATTCAGGCCTTTAGTCTTTAGTAGGCCCTATCAGAGTGTAGTGGTTTAACCCCAGCTGGCAACCAAGCCCCACACAGCCGCTCGCTCACTCCCCCCCGGTGGGATGGGGGAGAGAATCGGAAGGGTAAAAGTGAGAAAACTCGTGGGTTGAGGTAAAGACAGTTTAGTAAGTAAAGCAAAAGCCGTGCACGCAAGCAAAGCAAAACAAGGAATTCATTCACTCCTTCCCATCAGCAGGCAGGTGTTCAGCCATCCCCTGGAAAGCAGGGCTCCATCACGTGTAACGGTGACTTGGGAAGGCAAAAGCCATCACTCCGAACATCCCCCCTTCCTTCTTATTCCCCCAGCTTTATGTGCGGAGCATGACATCATATGGTATGGGATGTCCCTTTGGTCAGCTGGGGTCAGCTGTCCCAGCTGTGTCCCCTCCCAACTCCTCGCTGGTGGGGTGGGGTGAGGAGCAGAAAAGGCCTTGACGCTGTGTAAGCACTGCTCCTAAAGCATCCCTGTGTTGTCAACGCTGTTTCCAGCACAAATCCAAAACACAGCCCCATACTAGCTACTATGAAGAAGATTAACTCTATCCCAGCCAAAACCAGCACGCAAAGGAAGCTGTTTTGGAACAGGCAATAGAAATTCTCCTGTCAAATGTCACCTGTGGGAATTCTTAATTATTGTTTCTACTTTCCCTATTTCAGCTTCAATAGAAAGTTAAGTTTTTGACGTAGATATCTTAACATTTCATTTTGATGCTTTGGCTGATGCTCCCATTGCCATGATTGCACTCAAGTTTTTAGTGAGCTTGCGGCAGATGTGACGGATCTTGGGAACTGTTGAATATTCCTTTTGGTTATGCCCTCGTGTTGTTTCAGTTTTATCTTGCAGGCAGCGGGCATCTAGGGTACTTGGCATCTCTCCCTATTATTGGGGAAAAAGACGTGGTTCAGGCAGATGATGAGCCAACATTTTCTTACCATGTTGGACCATACATGATCATGACAAAGTAAGTGAAATCAAAGGGATTTTAACCCCTCTTAGTGTGCATCTGTTACTATTAAGCAGCAAGTTGTTGTACTAGATGCTTTGTTTGGATAGTTCCTTGTCTATTCTATATTCATCCACTGCTTTCTGCTTGCAACTTGTTTTCTGCAATCCATTGATTAACATCTTCTTTAGATTCCCTTGATATCTGTAGGTTGCTCTAGTCCTTTCCAGCAATATTAACCCAATTATGGCTATTCATTGATAGCAGTATTTCAGTACTGATTCCTTTTGTGGTGGGAAATACGTTGCTGGGGTTGCACAGATTGCATTTTTCAGTGTTTAGTCCTTGTAATTGCTGGGTCAGATCTCAGGCCTCTGGATATGCATGTCTGCAGGCCACTTGCTCACACCTATGGTGAAATGAGAGTTGCGAGTACAGACTGACCCTTGTTTTTTATCTTTTGTATTGTGTAGCAAGTAGTTGTTCCTCAGAGGCATCCAGAGAATTGACAAATTGGTGATTTAATCTTCCCAAAGCTCTGGCTTGTATTGCAGTGTAGCTGATGACCTTTAGTGAAAGGAGTTTTATAGTGTCCTTGTTCTTTACCTTGGGTCATGGAAGCGTAGCATCTCTGGACAGCAAACCTAGCCTGCTACATCCAGTCTTTAACAGGATGAGAATTTATTGTCAATTTGAAAGAATATATGCTATAGCCAGGATCATCAAAGTAATGTTACTAACAGTAGGAGACAGTACCAGAGCATTTCAGAATTACAAAATTATTTGTATGTAATCCTGTAACCGGAAAAAAATACTGCAGAAAGCATCTCGTAGAAATTCTTCTTCTCCTTGTAGCTTAATGTGGGGAGGCAGCAGAGTTACAGTGAAGGAACTCAGCTTTGAGCCCCATCAGAACTGTAGTAAACAACGTTTAGCTGATCTTCTCATTGCAGAGCAGGAACATAGTAGGTAAGAAAGAATGTGCAGTAGCCACAAGTGCTCCTGAGGTTTGGGTGTCTCCAATGATGGGAGGAAATGTGATTAACCTGGGGAGGACTGTTAGGCTGTGGTTGCACTTTCTCCCCAAATGAGAAATACAGGTCTCTTTCTTCTCCTGTCTCTTCCCACTCCATTTCCTCCCCAGTGGATAATACAGGAGAAGATGATACTCTCTTCTCATATGTCTGGATGAATGCTTCATTGCACATTTCTTGGATGGCTTGTTTATAGGTTCTCCTAGTTGTGGCAGTGAGCACTGTTTCCTAAATGCCTCCCAGTCTACGGTTCTTTTAAAATTTTGGGTATTGTAATGAAAAGTTAGAAGCATTCACATTGTGTTGATAAAAACATCTAGAAGGCCAGGACTCCTTCTCTTTTAATCTCATATTTGCCTTACAATTTTTTTTTTCCTCTCCCTTTACAGTAAACTCCGTCATCCTCATTTGCTACAGTTGTTGTCTGTCTGTCTGTCTAGTGACTTGGAGAAAACCCGTTTAGTATATGAAAGGGTTAACTTTGGTTCTCTGTACAGCATCCTTCATGAAAGGGTAATTGGAATACTTGTTTTTTAAATAGTAATTAATTGAGAGGAAAAAGTTTAGTAACTACATCTACCATCTTTACTGAAAGAACAGGAAGACAAAATCATCCATCTGTGTATCTGGGTTTCTGTTTCATTGCACAGTATCGGATACTCTGTGTAAGCTGGTAAAGTTTGTAATTGGCAAATACTTCAGTTAACGTTTAGGTGCAATTGCATTGATTTTCTTGTTTGGTGTCAGTCTTAAAATGGCTGCTGTTAAATTCAATTAATCTTCTGCATGTGGTTGTATATTGCAAATGTGGCGAGACCAGGTTTTGCCCTTGAATATTGGTATGTAGTATGTTGCAAACTGCCTGCGTATAAAAGTGAAGGCTTGAACTCAGTTGTGGGTTTTGTTTTTTTTTTTAAATCAACTGATTAGTGTTTTATTTTTGTTGTTCTATATTTTTCTCTTCCTTTTTTGCAGTTAATTGAGTCGTTATTTTATTTCTTTAACTGTTTGAATGCAGTCGTCTAAATTACTTGAGAAATTGCAGTCAAAGGCAAGAAATTCTAAGAGTTCATTCTGCTTCAGAGTGAATTTTGGCATAGTCAATATCTTTTCTTAATTACTTTTTAAGGTATTATTAGCTGGTTTGGTATTGAGAACAAACATTATTTAGCAAGTGCAATTCGTCTGACTTTTGCTACAGTGTGTTTCATGTTTGCTTTCTTTGCTTTCTTCTGTACAATAATAGTTTTCCCCTACATCAAGCTTTAAGACCTCCAATGCAAATTGGTACTTCGGTTTTTTTCAGCGTACAGAATTCCCGGTACTGCACATGGAGACGATTTTGCACGTGCTGCTTCAAATTAATGACGCTTTGCGCTTTCTACATTCCCGTGGATTTATCCACCGTTCGCTTACCTCCTATGCTATCCAGATTGTTTCTTCTGGTGAGGCAAAGCTGTGCAACTTGGAATACATGATAGAGAGGTAAAGAACTTCCTCACTGTTTCTGTCAAAGGGACAAACACAAGTAAAGTCAAATTCAGTGCTAAGTTCTGCTGAAGTGCCCCTCTTGATGACTAGAAACTCCTGCCCCTGAGTCAGGCGACAGAGTTACAGGAGTAAAGAACTTGAAACTATTACTGCTCAGGTACATTAATTTTGCCACAGGCAGTATGGCAAGTTTCAGGTGGACTTGTTTCTATGTTATAAGTATCTGAAAATAGAAACTAGTAAGAGAAGCAGCTCTTTACTGGAGTATAAAAATACCACCATAGAGAAATAGAACCTAATCTTACAGAACAGAGATGAAATTCCTCTTTGAGTCACTAATCTGCTGCTGGGCTGGAAATAATTTAAGTCCCCTCTTCTTATACTGAACTTGTGCTTATGGAAGCTTACCTAAAATGGTTGAAGATTCCACACCTCATTGAACTGGTAATAATTAAGTACCACCAGTGACAAAAAGAGTATTTCTTTTACGAGAGACACCATTCATTTCATCTAGGTAAATTATTACTTACGTAAATTTTTTACTTCTTTCCGGTAGCACTGTCTGATTAGAAAGGAAGTAAATGGCTGGTTAGACTGCAAAGAAAGAGAGTAAAATTCGTAATAAACAAAAATTTGCTGATGGCAATGTCCTGAAAGGAGCAAAGATACTTCCTAACCTCCTCGCAAACTCAATTTGTTAATAAACCTTGACGATTTCTTGGCTATTTCAGATACAGCTTACTGTGAAATGAATGAAAAAAAAAGTGTAGTTAAATATGAGGAGGAAGTTATGTTCTAGACATATGTATACATTGCAAAATAAATGTATTTTGTCCGTGGTCAGAGAATGCTGGCGAGAGCTAAAGGGTTGCTTTTAAAATTCCTATTGGGAAATTTTCAACTTTCTCAGAATTCTTTTTGAGTGTAAATTTATTAAAGAAGGTGTTACTTTTGCCAGAAAGTCTTTGCTGTAATGTGCCAAAATACATTTATTGGTGTGAAAATATTACACATTTTTATTTGCAGGTATACTCTGGACCTTTTAGGTGTTTAAACTAAAAGCAGATATAACAAACTCAGGTGTTTAATTCTAGAAGATATACCTTCTAGTTGAATGTGGTGTATGTCCCAATTTACAACTTTTTTGCCTTTATACAGCAAAGATGGCGGAGAACACAGTGATCTGACACGTATTCCTATCCCAGTCCAGCTGTATAAGTGGTGCTCTCCTGAAGTAATCCTTGAAAAAGTTGTCACGGTCAAATCGGATATTTATAGCTTCTGTACAGTGGTGCAGGAGGCCTTGACAGGTATATCTATAGGTTTAGGCTTTTGTCACTAGGGTAATCGACTGGATGTTTTCAATGCAGACTGTCAGCCACCTAATGTCTGTTTAAGCCCCCTATGTGACTGGATAAAACCTTGCTGTGATGTCTCATACTGAGTTAACTTGGAAAAGGAACCCTTCCAGGCAAAAACCCCAAATGTTAATGACAATAGCAAAGACTACTGGAAACTTGTAAAATGTAATCAGAAATCTTTAAATTGCATAACTAAGGGACGAGATTAATGGTTAGTATTAGAAAAATACAATCTTGTGTATGGTGTTTTTCTGCTGTCTATCTTCTTCATACGAGGACAGCAAAACATTCAGTTAACTCTCTACAATGTGCAAAATGAGCCTGTGCAGCTTTCATCTTTTTGATCACTAAGATAACTTACAGATAATTTATTGTTATTACAGATAACGTAATGTGTGTTATGTATTGACTTTGACTATTTTGACAGTGAAATGGGATAAACAATTACCCTAAAATTAAACCTCTATTAGCTTGTTGGTAATGAAAAATCTAGAGCATGGTTTACAGTGTAACTGTCCTCTAGAGATTACTGTCAGCTCCCTTTAAAGCATCCCCTCTTGAAATAAGATAGGGAGAAGATGCCAGGCTGGACTGAGTGCTCGTTTGGTTCATGACAGTAGTTGTAAATTAGGGAATGTGCAGACAATAATGCTTCAGTATCTCCGATTCTTTTTTCTTTTTTTCTTCTTTATTTTCATTAACATTGGTATACAGTTTGTGACATAAAGTCTATATTGATGTCTTGCAGAGACCCCTCCCTGGAAAGGTCTTGAAGACTCAGTTATTAAACCACTCATAATTTCGGGACAACAGTTAGAAGCAGATGTCAGACTTCCTATGCCCTATTACAGTATCGTAAAGTCAGGGCTAGAACCTAAACAGAAGAACCGCTCCATGAAACTTCAGGATATTCAATATATACTGAAAAATGACTTAAAGGTGACTTCCAGGATTGTAGCCTTTCATGTATTTAAAACGGCAGACAGAGTTTTGTGTCCATTCAGATTCAAGTTGTTCTGCTTAAATCTAGGTGGGAGGCAATCTGAACATTGAGTATCCTCTTCTGATCATGGAGGCAAACCACCTTAAAAGAGAAGGCAGAGACATTGAACTGTCAAATATAGTTGTCTTTTGTTCTGTTTTTTGTATTACAGGACTTAACTAAATCTCAAACTGGTCATGCTGATGAAATGTCAAAAGCACAAAGACCCGCTGTTTTTGCAGATGTGAATATCTGTTTGGCATCAGCTGTTAGCTACCAGAAGAGAACACAGGAATTGCAGGGAAAAGAGATAACCGAGGCTGGTGAGTTTTTTCTAGTAAGATGTCGTGTGTCTTTCACTTAGACCTTTATGGACTGAGGAACATGCTAATATAAATAATTAAAATGTGAGCACTTACAGATTTTATGACATAGTTTGAAAATAGAAAGCAGTTAGCTTTGGATTCTAGTTACCGCCCTAATTGTTAACGTAAACTCAAGACTGTAAGTCTGGTTAATATTTGAAGTTCAGGCACGCTGTTTTTAGCCCAGGTGTTAAATGCTGCTCACGTAATCTCTAAAAGACGTTAACTCCTAAATGTACAAAAGCAGTGTGTTTGATGGACATCTGGAGAAATGGCTTAATATTTAAAATAAAATTTTTCAGGCAGCTCTAATGCCCCAAGATACTCTCTTTTACCTGAGGAGAATAGTGCTTTAGTGGACCAAGAGGCATCAACCAGTCTACAGCCAGTTGCACAGGATGAAAATCGTGATGTATCTTCTGAACTCCTGACGACCCTCAGTGTCAGTGATGTGGATGACAGCCTCTGTAGCTTCGAAATCAATGAAATCTTTGCCAGTTATCTAGAACTTCACGACTTCCTGGAAGAAGGAGCTGGATTAGGTCAAACTCTAAAGGATGAAAAAAGGCAGCAAAAGGAAGAAAATAAGGCTACCCTCAGAGACCTATATGCATCCCCCAGAGTGCCCTGTGAGGAAAAGCCAGTTTATGAGGAAGGTGGCTTTTCAGAATCGGGTACAGAGTACACTACAGAAGAGGAGGAGAGGATAAGTGAGGCCTCTGACTTATACATGCTGGCACAGGTGAGAGGAGATGCTGGGAGAAGAATGAGTAGTCTGTCCCAAAAGGAGCTGCAGTACATCAGCAAATGTGTCCTTGATTTAAAGATTGCTCAAAGCATGTTGCAGCAGGCAGCAGATTCTCTGTGCAGAACAGAGGAGAAACTGGACAAATTAGGGGCCACTGAAAAGCAAAAGAAGCTGCGCCAGGAAATCAGAATGAATCAGCTTTCTAAGCAAATTTTTCAAGAAAGACACTGGAGCAGTTCTGATGATACTTCCCAAAATACCAATAACCCTTTTTCTGGAGTTAATACTTTTTTGTGGAAGGCTGTAGGTCCACCATCAAGTGACTATATTCCACCACTGTTAAGATGTCAGGCACAAGGAGCATTGAGTGGAAACAGTTTCCAAGCTGTTTCAAAGACAGCAAAGGAAATGGAGGCAATTCAAAATGAAAAGTGGAAGTGCTTTCATGAGATGAGTAAGAGTAAAAATGAAAACAACCGTCATGATCTCAGCTTCAGTGTGGTGAAAAGCCTGGATGATCAAATGAGCCTAGACTGTGAGGTAAAGTGTAGAGCAGGGTGACTGTGTTTATCACTTCTGTATTCCTTAGCAGGTAAAGAGACGTAGTTATGGATGGTGTCCAAAAGGAGGGATGAATCTGTCTTTTAAAATATATGCTCATACCATGTGCATTATATATAGGAATGAAAATAGTCAGCTCAGCAGTGCAATAGTATTATTTCTTCTTTCTCCCCTCCTTGCCCCCCAGCAAAATACTAGTCCAGTGGCTTAGAAGGGAATAAAATCCTGTACTAAAAGGGAGATGGGACTGTCAGGGAAAAGGGCAAGCAGAGAAATATTTCTGTTTGTATACTTAGTTATGGAGGTCTAAGCTGTCATTAGTAAGGGCTTCTAGATAATTTTCATTATTAAATATAAGTAGTTGACATGCTTAGCCCAAAGAGAAAGAGAGAAATTCATGTATGTATCTGCTGTAGGAATAATCTTGAATCATTTAGGTCGACTCATTCCCCTGGGAACTACATTATGGTAGTTTGCGTGCGTACATATGAAACCTGCTATAAACCCAGGGCAGAGTTTTTACTAGGCTAAGGCCTGGAGTTGTCATCCTTTCTCATGAGCAGTGCTACTAAAATATAATCTAGGGAATAAAATTTGCACAGTCCGGTTCTTAGTATATCTTATAGACAGTTCAACTAGTAATTACCAGAATGCCCGACATGTGCTGAATCATGGCTTGTTGGACTCATTTCAGCATCTACTCCCACGTGTATCTGTAAGATGCAAAAATAAGTTCAATTTGCAGCATCAGAGAGAAGGTGATTCACATTCTGCAGCAAGTGGAAGTAAAGAAGAGAGGTGGTGAGTTTTGATCGTATTCACAGAAGAGTTAACTCTAGCAGATTCATCTTGATACAGCCACTGTCAAAAGTAGACCCATGCAGGATCAAGGATGGCATTAAATGTTTTTTCAATAAGTCAAAAGCCATCTGTCCAATTAGGACCGTACTGTGAGTCAGTCAGCTGCAGAGCTGACAGGGTAACTGCTGTGACAGGGCAGTTACTTTTTAAAAGTGGTGTTCAGACAGATTCCAGATGCCTCTCTGATGGATGTCAGCGGACCAAAACTGTAACAGTGCCTAAGGAGAGCAATCTAGTAAGTTACTAGTAAGGGTGGTTCTCCTCTCTCTGCACAGCCTCATTCAATTCTCAGTAGCAATACTTTGGCTTTGATAGGTGTAGGACTAGGACCTATGTTAGGGGCTGTGGGAGTACAACAGTCTTGCTAAACCTAGTGACAACAGAGCATATGTTACTTTGTTACGTTTGCTGTGCTTTTTAATGTCGTCCCTTTGTATTTCTAAGTATGGGTGGAAAGTACGTGTTAAAAGTACCTAGCAAAACTTGTGCAAATTAATGTGTCTTACTAGTTGGAAAGGTGAGGATAGGCACCTCCTTCAGTGTTTGGATCAAATCAGTCAGGAAAGCTGTTGCAGTTTTTAAGTTGATTCATGACCCGGTTGGATAAGTAAGACCCGTTGGTAAAAGACATATTTGGTTAGAGCATAAATATGCTAGATGCTGACACGTGGCTAGATGGTCAAGTGAATGAACTCTAGATTGGAATTGGGTTGGTGGTAGGATTGTTGTTATACAAGTCTGAATTTCTGAATATCTTCAGTTGTCCACTTATCACCTTACTGACCTGAATAAAACACATCTGCATAGCATTCATTGTCTGTTAGTGTTTGTATGGATATATCATCTGAAGGCAGTTGACAGCTTTTGAAATCTAGATTTTAATGTACAGCTTGTCCGGTTAATCTATGATAGACCTAAATAACTATCTGTCCTTTCTAAGCTTCTGATGGCTCAATCTACTGGTTCTGTTGGGTTCTTAGAACATGTGTGCTCTCAGCCTTCTAATTAACATTAAAAAAACTTCTAGTCTTTTACTGACTGGGGAATACTTAACACAATATGCTTGTGCATTAACAGAATTCGATGCATTTCATAATGACTTATTATAGGTGCTATCCGAAATCAAGAACTGAAATTTACAGTACCGAAATAAATGAGGACAGAAGGATGATGCAATCAGAATGGAGGAGTAAGTAAATCAGTGTGAACTCGACATTAATGTTAGCAAGTCTTACTGCAGTGCAGCGCATTAAAACTTAACACATTTTGTTACTTAAGAAAGGTCTGTGTGCCTTAATTGCTGAAGCTCTATTGGGCTGTTCTTGGATGACAACCAAATGAGTAGGATCCTGTGTCTTGCACATTCAGGGCATAAAATAATCACAACCACATTAAGATAGTTTGATTATAAAGCTCAAGGAATTTCTAGCCCTGTTTTGGAGAATGTAAGGGAGGGACAGCATATGAATTTAGAAAGGGTAGTATAGCAATGACCAGTGGATGGCAGTACAGGCATGAATAATAGAGAACGCAAACTAACAATTGTTCATGTAAAGACTTGACCATATCAATTTATGCAGGTTTTAAGCTTTCCTAAAAATGGAAGGAAGTGTTTACCTCTTTTCATGATAAAGGAGTTTACAGGCTATAACTTCAGCATTTCCAAGTCTGCAGACACAATGAAACACAGGGAATGCTTTGAAGGTCCAGATTCTGTTGTGTGAACTGGTAATTTTGTTCTTTTTGTGTAGCTGAAGTAAAGCAAATGGCCAGAAGAGTGGCCTTAGGACAACTACAACTTGGCTCTCCATATCCAGCCAGTGAATGTACATCTGAAAGTGAAGCAGAGAGTATAAAGGAAGCCTTTCAACATGTCACTGTTAGAGTCCAAAAGAGTCAAGACCCACAAAGATATAGGTGGCAGACAGGTGATAATGTTGAGCCTTGGGATCTGGGCAGTGAGGGTAGATCTGAATCTGAGGAGAGTGATCTGGAGTCTGCATTCAGAAGTTCTGGAGGTAAGGTTGAAAATAAAAAAATAATTTCTTCTCTTTTCATCTCTCTCCATCTCCCAGCAGATTTCAGCTTCTGTGCTTTTGTTACAATAATTGTCAATTTTATTTTCCAGAGTCTTGCCCCCAAAGCAGGTTAATCACTCAGTCATTGGTGAACATAAATAATAGACCAAGATGAGTATTAGATGTTAATAGGTGGAGGTAATGTCCAGTGAGCTTGGAGATCCTTCATCGTCATTGACTACCATGTGTCAGCATGGGAGACCCAAAGCTTTCAAATCCATGAGTATGCTTTCACACTTTCTTTCTTTCAATTGGACTACAGAGATGCTTTTTCTGTAGCAGCATAGTGGGTATTGCTTTTGTAATAGTTTTGGATAAAGGAACAAGGAAAGCTTCACATGCCTAGATTAACAATGTGAGCATTTAAGTGTCATTATTTGTCCATATTCCTGACAGATAGTGTGGTTTTACTGTCAGCTCTCATTGATATTCCATCAGTGGTTCAGGTCACTCCATATTATTTTTTGCCTAATAATTTTGTTCCATTCTGACATCCTAGGGAGAAGTTGCCAGTCACCATCACAAGATGAACAAGCAGAGTTTGGAATAGCCATTCATAAGAATTCAGTCCTTCCTCCACAAGTTGAGAATCTCTCTAGAGTATGTATAGTAATCCAAGAAAGATAGCTGCAGCTAGTTATCTGTAAAACAGTTCAGCCTGGTCTCTCCATGTTGCACATGAACTACCAAGACAGCTGATCTTTTCAGTTGTGGTCTGACTAACAATCCCGCTTCTTCCCCCTCCTTTTTTTTGTTTGGTTCTATAAATCATCAAGGTAATGTAAGGAGCAGGAGGTAGGTTGAAACTCGGAGTGATCAAATGATATTTAATTTCAATTTGATGAAGTATTCTTTAACATTATTGACTAAAATGTATATTCTTTAATAGAGAGTGGAGAAAGCATCTCAAATGATGATGTCTTTCACAGGGGCATTCAAGGGAATTACATTGTTCCCTTAATTCATCTCTTGAGGTGTCTGAAGAATTCTTGACTGCTGATCCTGATTATTTCCTTCCTCCTACTACTCAGGGAAGTTCAGCACTAGAGGTAAAAATAACAGAAAAGACAAGAATGAAGTCTGTGTCAAGAACTTTGGATGTAAGTTACAGAACATGTAGTTTTATTATGCTCCCTTTTGATTTGAAGAAGAGCTGTAGAAAATGGAAGAATGACAGTTGTTATTCTTTTATTTTGAAATAATATCTACAAATAAAGATTTATCTAAAAGTAAGAAAATTCTAACCCTGTTCCTTTAAAACACGCACCCCTACCCCAAAAAAAACGCCCAAAAAACTCCAAACAACTAAAACCCCACAAACACCCAGACTCCCAAAACACCAGGGGCATGTTTTCTTAATGTGTTTACTAGGAAATTACATAATCTGTGGCTGAGAAAAGTTTTAGGCAGTTGATAATCTCAGCCTTTCCTTCACAGCTTTATTAATTATAGTACTCAATAGTCTTAAAACGATCTTCATTCATTTCTTGAAGATTTGAAACTATTGTATGGACTATAAAATCCAATCCATGCTGTTTGCTGATAAGCTCTTGAAAAGTTTGTCTCTCCATTCTGATTGTTGTGAACATCATCCTGTGAGAGTTGTCCTACCCTTCACAGCTTGCCTGTGAGAAATTGAATTTGCTTCCTTTTCCCCCAACTTCAGACTGCAAATGCTGAGGGCAAATTAGAAGATACTTGTGAAGGATTTTTACAGAAACAGTTGCCTGAAGATGCAGGATCAGGTGTTCAAGTTTCAGGTAAATGTGCTGTTTCTTTTGAATGTATTTTTGAGTCAGGGAGACGGAGTCTTGTTGCACTTGTATTTTTGTCAGCAGCACACCTGTCAGAAAGCTGGAGCTTGATTCTTCAGGATCACTTGGTCTCTTATTCCTCATTATTTTAGTGAGAGTTCAGGACACTTAGAATTTTGGAAGATGAGGTTTGGGTATTGCAGTCACTGAAATACTGTTGAGTGCAATAATTATGTACTTGCTGTGTTTCAGTTAAAAAAATGAACCAAAACTTGTTTGCAACATCTTTGTTTTTACCCTAGGGCTAAGTTTAATGTTTTTATGCAACTTGCTATGGTGCTGGAAACTGAATTAGAGTTGTATTTACACATTAATATTCTTATTGCTAGAAGGATCTTGAGCTTAAAAACTGTAAGAGCTGACATTGTATGTGTGCAGAATAATGGAAAGATCATCGCTATTTCTCTAGTCTGTTGCCTTTCTTAGCTCAAATTTGTAAATGTTGCGATATTCCCCAGTGCTTCAGTGGTTGACTGTCTGGCAGCTGTGGTATGTTTATGAAAATGCATCTTTAAAACACATTTATCTCTTGACAACAACAAAGGTCATAAGAACTAAAAAATTTGATAAAGTTGAAATTTCCTGTTCAATGAGTTCTGTCACTTTCTTTTGTACTTGCAAAACCCAATAACAGGGGACATTTGTTATTTGTATTCAGGAGGAAGTATACTGTTCTGCAGCACAGCAGCACAGAACTCCGGCAATAACACACAAGGAGTGAATCAATTTAGCCATATGCCTGTAGCCAGGTAGACAGACTTATTTTCATCGTTACTTCAAGCATAAAAAAGTATGCTCTCTTTATTAATTCTGCTTATATATCTAATATTCAAATACGATGCCAGTGGTATTTTTTAATGATTATCTACATACCATAGTTCCTTGCCAAGAAAATATTAAAAGGACTTTCACAAGTCTCATGGGGGTTTGTCTTTTACAGTGTTCAGTATTTTTTTTTGTTTGCTTAATGAGGGAGCTAAAATAGGAAAAATAAGTCATGTATATATTACAATTCCTTTTACACTGATGGACGACAGTATTAAACAGAGCAAAGGTAATTCAAATTAAGACTTCAGTCATCTGTTTTAATTTTTTTGTGCTTTGGTTTTGGAGCTTGAGTGGCATGAAGATCATGCCTTTTTCCCCTCCCGTGGGAAGAATCTGCTGCAAGTATGCTCACTGCATCTTGCCTGCAGGTAACATTAGCCCATGCTTGGAGACTTGCAGTCTCATCTGTCAAACATGAGGTGTTTATATCCAGTATTTTTGTAAATTTTATATTCTACTAGTATGCAGAGATGTTGGCCAGAATCACCACCTCATGCTGCAAGGGGTACTTTCACTTAAAGAGAAACAGTCCTTGCCCTGAAGGTCTTTCAGCAGTGGCTTTCAGGCTTAACGGCCCCTTCTCTCCCTGTAGCTCAGCTTTCCTTGTGTTCCTCTGGGGTTAGCAGGTGCTCACTTTCTCAGAGTGTGGGAGTGAGAGCTCCTTGTACTGTCTGTCAGTGTTGTACCCTCTCTCTTCCACTGAAGGAACTGAGTTACCACTATCAAAGGTAGGCAGCAAGTGTGTAAATACTTGGCCTTGAGGTAAAAGGTAATGGTTTTGGTTGCTCCCTTCACTTAGGAACTGAGTTTTTGCCAGCAGGCCAGAGAGGACTGTTGCTCTCTGACCATCTGACTAATCCCCTTCGAATGCCTCTTTCACCTTGATTGGGTTTGTTACAGTTTGAGAGAACAGCTTACAATGCAGACCAGGCAAAGGATGATGAAACAATGTAGTGATGTGTATTTGTAGATTTTTACTTAACTTTCAGTTTTGTTTTGAAACTGTATATGTCAATTAGAAGTTTTCTCCTTACCAGATACAAATCCATAATGTGCTTAAAATGGTATTTTTCTCCTAGCACTCTCCATCTTCTCAGGTTTTAAGCAAAAAGCAGTCTACCTCAGAGAGAAGGTAGTCCTTTAAACTTTTTGAGAGAGAGGAAACTAAATACATTTATTTTCATAATTCTCTGAGAGGATCAGTGAATATGACCTTTCTTCCTTCATTCCAGTGTTGAAGCAGCCCAAGAAGTGATACTGTGGGAGCCACAGGAGGAACACAAAGAAAAAGATGTGTAAGAGTCACAGACCATTTTATATCAAAACTTCAGCAAGTTGGTCATTATCATTGTAAAAGTTTTGTGTTGATGCAAAACAGGAAGGTGAGAGACCAAAGCTGAGAGACAGAAAGCTATCTGAAGTATTGAAAGAGTATTTTCTTGCGATAAGTTGGGAGATTGGTATACAAGAGCTATCACATACAGTTGTCCTTAGTTTGAAATACTTTCATATCATAAGTAATGAACATAGTGTTAAGCTGGGTGTGCTTCTTCACATTAAGGTGTTTCTTCTGTCTGTGTTACACAGAAGAAATAAAATTACTTTAAAGAGCAAATCGTTAGTATGTAGCTAAATAAATTTTATTACAAAAATGGTCTTGTGATTGAGATTCTCAGGAAAAATTTGCAGAGTAGGTTTGTGACTTAACTAGTAAAGTTAATTTCTTTTTATAGATGATGGAGATTTGCATAGAAATTACTGATTTGGTAACAGTAGATGTCTGTTCATTTCATGGTCTTCTGAGGACAATGTAATCCAGGGTATATCTGCAGAAGATGTTGGTTTGCTTTATATAATCCCAGTCCTGCAGCCACTTAAGAATTTTTGTACGTTGAGTGGACATCACTGCCTGTGCAGATCTTTAGCAGTTTCAGTTTATCTGAGTAGTTCTTTGAAAGGCTCCGAAGACCTACATTTAGTCTTAATTAAGGGATCGTTAGTTTTTGTTAAACCTTGAGGTCTTCGCTTGGCTTTGGAGAGAGCTTTCTACCTAGTGATTCACATTTGAAGTTCTTGCCCTTTCTGGAGGCAGTTTCCTGAGCTTGCTTTTATAGGAGAATTATTAAAATTAAGAAATCTTGCAAAGGAAGGGAAAGCAAGTGATTAACCTTTTCTGTCTCTGCAAGATTATTGAAGATGGTGATATTTAGCCTTCCAAGAATTCTGTGGGAAGTTTTCAAAGGGAACGTCTCTCTTCCTTCTGGAAAACTAGATAAGACTGAACAAAATTAAAATTTAAAGAACCTGAAAATAGCAGAATTTAGTGATTCACAAGTGTAAGAAGTGGCTATTCTAACTGTCGGAACATCTTTCAAAACTTCAGATCAGTGACAGATATTCAGGATTTGTCGAGTATCCCCTATGAGCAAGAGAGCTACTACAGGGATATAGATTGTAAAACGCCTAGAGTGAGTCATGCACCAACGAGCGTCAGCACTCCACTCAGCTCAGGTAAGTGCAGAGAAGAAAGAAGGAAGGACCAGTGAATTACTTAACCTTTCTGTGCCAGGAGTCAGACCTTTCTGCCAAGACTTGCTAATGAAAAATCATTGATATGAATCATGGAAACTCCATTCACGTAGTACCAATGCAAAAATGTCAGGCTTGGAATAAGTAACAACAAGAAATGCTGTAGCTGTTGTTTGAAATCTCATTGTTTTGGTCTGGATAGTTACAACTTCGTAGTTAGATCCTGCTTGGTCAAAAGAAATCTCTAACATAGAACTAAAGGAGAATTTATGGGGACACAGCTGAAAAAGCTTGTATCTGAAAGGTCTCTGAAAGATAATTACTGGGTAGTTAATGGTAGCCTTCATAAATCAGAAATTGTTTTAGACGTTTAAAATTGATTTGGAGTGATACATGTAGATTTTAGCATTTTAAAGACAGACAATGTAATAAGCACTTAGTGTGTTTTGAGTGTTGATAAAGTGATCTCAATGTTTTTTGAACTGAAGTGTTCTTTAAGAGCAACGAATTATCATTTGCTTTGTACTTTCATTAATTCGGTGTAATACAGTAGTCAAAATTTCTCAGTTGGCAAAGTTTTGCATAAAAAATGTCTGAGATTGAACTCCTAGGTAATCAGTTTGGACTTCTGCTTGGAGATCATTTATGGACAATAATTTCTTAGAGTTGCCTGTGCAGGTGCCTGTTCAAATACAAGAAACCTTTTTCTGCTTCCGTTGAAATGTGACCAAGGTACAAAAAAATCCAAAAATCATTTTCCACCTTTGCTATCATCCTTTTCTTTTTTTAATTCTAGAAGAAAAAATTCCAGTAGCCTTTGAGAAATACAAACACTGCCATGAAGTAGCTTCAGATTGTTCCTTTTGCGGTTCTCAAGAGATCTCTTCTGCAGCGTCCAGGACATTCACTACAGCCTATGAAGAGGGAAGGAGCACTGAAATTCCTTCTGTTGCTTGCTCATCTGAATTGAATGAGCCTGTAAGTCTAGAAAATTTACCTTATGCCAGCCATTCTTTAAAATCTTTTTAAAAATACTTTTCCTTAAAATAAATGCAAGATGAGAAGCACAGAGATACTTCTAGGTCTTTGTGAGTATTTTGGAATCCTGGATCTGTTGGCATAATGACAAAAGTTCTGACTGATTTCAAAGTAGTCAGTGTGTGCCACTGATTATACAAAGAGTTGGCTTCCCCTTGCACTTAATCTTATGTAAATGTTGACCACTATCAAAATGGCCTTGCCTGCCCTGCATCCCTTCCCTGGCTGTAAAGAATTGCCATTTCCCAGCATTGGATCCAGTGATCTTGGAACACCGAAGTGGTAAGTATCAGCAAAATGATTGGGTAGAAAAGGTCTGGTTTTACTGGGGGGCGAGGGGGGGGTTGGGTTGGTCACTTAAAGATTAAATTAGAGTTTGTTCAACCAAAACAGTAGCGACTGCGTTCGTTGTCATCAGGTCAGGTCTGTGTCTTTCTGCTTGCGTAGCAGACAGTTGGAATTCATTAAGCCCATTAATAGTGCAGTGCTGCCTTGACTGGCTCTGTGGAGATACTTGATTGTGTCGCTTTTTTGTCTAAAATCTTATTCTAGGATTAAGTGCATGAAGTACCTCTTTCCATTTTGAGAAGAGTGAGGACTTGCCTATGATTACAAATTCTTGATTTTTGGGGCCTCTTTTAGTAAATAGATGTGCCTGGCTTTAATAATTAAAGATTCAAAACAGAGAATGGGAACTTAAGAGATGTTGGAACTGTCCTTTCAGAGAATTCCCATCCAATCGTCCGTACAGTGTTGAAATGGATAAAGATCACATAGCTGACAGTATCTTATGGCCGATAAAAAGATGAGTGCACAGCAGCCTAAGCAAAATTTTTGACACATCTGGCCTACCTGGATGCTACCTCTGTTTTTATATTCTGAACTGATTGAAGAGCTTATTTAAAAATTTAATGGTCAACTAAGGCTTTAATTAAGGCCTTACCTCATTTTGGATTTAGTATGTTGAAGGGGGAGGATTGAAGACCAGCAGTTCTTCAATTTACCTTCTGATGTTTCATTCTGTATGATCTTACACAGGATGGGTTGCCAGTAGTTGCTTCATCCGTGAGAAGCACCAGGAAGGCATCTGGTAAGTGTCTTAACACAGCCCCAGCCCAAATAGAACAATCAATAAATGGAGAAAGAGATTTGAAAAGAAATTTTGCAGTTTTACTTCCCTCCCCCTTCCTCCCCCT